CTTGATGGAATGGAATTCAGAAAATATTAAAAACTAGAATAAATTTAAAATAGATCATAAGGGAGAAAAAATATTAAGGTGCTAAATTTTCACCTAATTGCATCTGCAATAATTCACTTCCCAATGCACTCTGCATGATAGCAAGGCTACTCACATCCCTGATCCATGATCAAAGGGATTCACCAGAGGCTTAATCCATGTGTATTTCTCCATCACGTTTTATTTATTTTTTAAAAAAATAATTGTATTGGGCCTCATACAATTCTTATCACAATCCATACATACATCCATTGTCTCAAGCACATGTGTACATTTGTTGCCATCATCATTCTCAAAACATTTTCTTTCTATTTGAGCCCTTGATATCAGCTCATTTCCCCCTTCCCTTCCCTCTCCTCCCTCCCCCCCTCACTCATGAACCCTTGATAATTTATAAATTATTATATCATCATATCTTACACTGTCCGACATCTCCCCCATCATGTTTTTAAAAAAGATATTTATTCAGTGTCATGATCATACTATTACATTTAGCAATCAACAGCATGGGTGAAAAAAAGAAACAAATATTAAAACCCTTTGTTGGAATTCTTTACACTTTCCACAGAACAGAAACTAAAGTACCTTGTTGAACACTTAGTCACAAATATAGTCCTCAAGTTCTTTTTCCCATACACATGAGCATTGTCTAAAACATGTCTTCTTTGTAGCAGCAGGGCCCTACCACCACTGTGCTTGGCTGAGTTCCCAAATCTGTTGTCACCTCAGCTTCCTGTTACTTCTCTGGCTCTCCTCCCCTGCTAAGCTTTGTTTTCTGGTCATTGAAATCTTCTGCCACTGCCCAAGCTACTGCTACTACTTGAACTACCATAGCCACCTTGGTCGTGGTTTGGCAAAGTTTTGACCTCCACCAACATCATAGCCAGAGTTTCTGCCTCCAAAATTTCCTCCCTTCCTCAGTCCAAAATTGGAAGATTGATTATTATAATAATTAATATAATATAATTATTTCCACCACCTCCAAAAGAACTTCAATCATTACTAAATCCATTAGTATCACCCCCACTGCTGCCATGTCCACCACGTCCATGGCTGCCACCGAAGCCACCACATCTACTGAAGTTTCTATCCCAACCATTTTCACCAAAGCCACCTCCTCGGCCATCACTGAAGTTTCCAGAACTGCTTCCACCTCTTTGACTGGAATCGGTGCTGGATATCTCTTGCTTTCACAGGGCTTTCCTTACTTCACAGTTGTGGCCATTCAAAACCATTTTGGGGGGGGAGTTAATACAGATATCATATAATCCCATAGTTCAATCACATCAAGCAGTGTTGTACAATTGCTACCACAATCAGTTTCCAAACATTCTTTTTATTCTTGAACTCCTTGACCTAAGCTCACTTTTAACTGCCCACCCCCACCCCCACCAATATGATACCCCCCAGAAACCCTTATTCTACTTACTGTCCTTATAGGCTCATCAATCCTGAATTTCATAAACTGAAAAACATATAACAAAAATTCAAGAAGGTGACCCCCAATGACATAACACATCTGAGATAATTCGCAGTACAAACAAACAAAAACAAAATGCTGAAAATCAGATCAGGCTTAACATGCATAAGAGGGGGCATCAACTGACAAAGTTTTAACTGTTCAAGTTAGGTTTATCATTTTGATCTTCTCTAGTCATCTCTCCAATGCACTCACTCTCCTTAGTAACCACTTTCCTCCAATTCCTCTCTGTTATAGATAGAAGGAGATCATCAGAGTCTTGAGGGCTTATTTACTGTGTAGATCCCACGAAAGTGTCTTGGGCTCCCATTGTCTTTCATAGACTTCTGCCAACCAGATTCTCACAGTTTAGCCTCTGATACTATTACCTCCTTCGACTTCAGGATTATATGATTCACAATCCTTTGACAATGCTTTCTCCATGGTGTCCACAGGCAGAAATAAAAACAAAAACCAACAAACAAACACTGAAACAGTTTTAAAATGGATCAAAAGGGAGATCAAGTGATTTTAACCTAACTACATCTGCCATAATCAACTTTACAATGTGTCCTGTCTGATGACTTGACTATTCACATGCCTCAACTGGGATCAGAGGGAAATCCCTGGAGGCTTGATCCATGTGTGGATGTTGCAAATGGATTTTGGGCTTCAACTGTTGTCCATAGCTTTCTGCAAACCAGTGCTCACAATTTAAGTTCTAATACCATTCCCTCTTTTGAATTTGGATTATATTAATTATAATCCATATATCACACAGGCTAGTGTGTTCTTCCATGTGGATTTATTTGACACCATTTGGCTTTTTAATATATCAAATAGTGTCTTAAAATAAAAGCATTGTTAAATGAAATAAGTCCCTGTCAGGGTAGACTAGCCCCTAACACATCACCACAGGTCCGGTAGGTGCAACTGTATAGTGATAATAAATAAAGATTAGTGTAAAGTCATATAGAGCATGAGAGATAGAAGAGAGATTGAAATAATACAGTCAGACACATTTTATGGTAGCATACTCAGCTCAGCCTCACTTGGTGGTCCACATGGAGAGAGAGAGATATTTATTGCTAACCAAGGCTTTTATATTCTCTGGGCACAAGCAAGACCCCTAATTACAGGTGAAGACATACATCACAGGAAAGGGTTGTGCTATAGGTAATACAGTAATGGGAGGGGGGGTGATCTAGGGGTATCCACGCAATAGGAAGGGGAGGCAATGGGGGTACACATGTGACAAAATGGGTAGATCTTAGATTCAGGGAGGCAGCTTAATTTTGGATGTCACTGAGCTGGTTTGACCTGTTCTCTGGCTCACTATAGAAACCATTATCAGTAGGGTATAAACCTACCCTGCAGGAACCAAAGATGACTGCAAGCCTTTAGGGAGAAGTAACCCATTGTCCATAACAGCAGGGAGTGGGCCCTACTTATAGTGGGACCAGACAGTAGATTGGGAGCTGACTGACCTCAGGGAGGTAATTTGACAATCATTTACCATTAGCTGCAAGCAGTGTCCTAAGTCTAACAGGTATTTGGGGGAGACGACTTGGGAGATATCTTTCTGTTTTCCATAAGTCCCCACCATATTACTTTTTAGTTTGTCTATAATATATTCTGCTCTTTGAAGTGATAAAATAAATATTTGTGATGGGTGTAATTAGGTGTTTCTTCTTTTCTGGACAACTACTAATAACTAAATTTAGAGGCACCTTCATTATGTACAAACAAATATTTTTTCTATGAAGTAGTTTTAACTTTTGTTTACATTTTAGAGGTACCAATTTATAATTGTCAAATGTATTTTAAAATTAATAATAAGTTGTGATTTTTTAAGAATTTGGTTGAAGTTATAAAATATTGTTTGAGCCGGGTCCGGACTAGGCAGCGCCCATTTCCTCTCCGTCTCCTCAGGAGGCTAGAACTTCTAGGCCCCCATTTCCAGCTTCTCCTGAGGATAAATGACCTATTGAAATATGCATCTTCTGCCCCAGCATTCCAAAGAGCTTATCTCTGCAGACCCAGGTTGTGCAGCTCTGTCCTAGCACTCCAGGAAGTAAGTTGACAAACGACAAAGGCACTTCCCACGGATCTCATCCTGACTCAAGGTCCTGCAGCTGCAAGCAAAATAATCTCCCTGCTTGTTGTCAATGGATACCTCCCTAGCGTGAGCCCTGTATATCTCCCACTGCCCTAAGGACAAGCTGGGATTTCCCTGACCCAACTCCTTGGGTCTCAGAACTGCCCAGAAGCTCAAGATGCTCCTGTCCCTTTCTCTGCTCTCCCTTCCCTCCAGGGAGCTCTTTCCTACCCTAATAAAGTTGCTCTTAACCTCATGTTCTTTGTCTCAATTCTATCTCTGTTCTGTGTCTCAGTATTGACCTTTTAATTGTCCTATTGCATTAGTTTCTGCTTTTAATGAGATTTTTTAAAAGAAATGAGCACATCTGGTTTAGATAATTTCTAGGATGAAAAAAATTTTGTAAAGCCTTTGAAAATGAACAATTTCTTAAGAAAACATTAACCCATGATACAGTAGAAAATAGGCTTAAAGATTTAAAGAAACAATGT